ACTGTAATGTCACATATATGTTTCACTCCATTCACAACACGCACTGCACAAAAATATTGCTCCTTTATTTGATATAATAAGAATTTTAGTTTAAAAAGAAATTTGAGCTTACCAGCCAAACTAATCTTGTGATAATGTTTTATTACCTACTTTTATTTCCAGTTTTATAATATAAAAACCCTAAAATTAAAAGTTAAATTGAATTGAATAAATGCTTATCTACAGTTGTTTGTTCACGCGTTCGCTTGTTCATTATGCCGTTTGGTTGTGTGAGATGAAATTGGTTTATTCGTCGTCTACGGGGCAAGCATGCATGTATGAGCTTTTGCCAGGTTATATTTCTCCCACCAAAGATGACAATATTTTTAAATTAGTAGATCGAGGGTTTTAAGTGCAAACTTTAGTAAGTATATATAAACTCAATGTGTAGAAATCATTAGAAACACGTATCCCTTTACAAAAAAATGGTGGCGACTATAACAATATGTGATTCATTACTTCGTTAAATTAAAGAACATTGCATTTCCTGATATAGTTCACTACAATAGTCCTTCCTTTTGTGAGCATTTGTTAATCGGTAAATTAAACTGCAAATTTAAAAACCTAATTTAAGTTATTTTTATTACGAAGTGTTGAATGGCTACAGGACCCAGAAGAGAGGAAACTCCAAAAATTTAATACTAGGATCCAAACAATTCTTCGAAAAATAAATTGCAGTCTCCAAATAATAAATATTTTTAAATTCTTGTTTTAAAAGTTGAAATAGTTCCATGCGGGAATCCAATTTTCAGCAACGTCAGGCAACCGTTCTACGACGTGATATTGAGAGAATCTTCTAAAAATGTAATAATATCGAAAAATATCTCATTTTGTAGATTACGACATAAAAGGCATAGCTTGTGTTCCAGCAGAAACACAAAAACCTGTTTTAAAGATGCATAGTTTGCGAGTTTTGCAGGACGGTAAAAATAGCTGCGGAGTAATGTGTGTTGCCGGTTGCATGTGCGCGTGGTTTCTCATCCATGCCATTGTGCTGAAGGACCGGCGCCCGCCGGCCGGCCCGCCCGCCCGGCGCAGCGTTGGTATGCATATCACTTCGAGATACTCCGCTAGCCGCCCGGCCCTCGGGCCCTTGTGCTCGCCGCGCAACTCCGTCGGAGCCACCCCCGCGGAGGCAGGATGGACTGGCCCGCCGCTCACGACTGTCGTAACTAACGAGAACCCAAAACGGTACCTGTAGTTTTAGTTTTAAGTAAAATAAGTAAGGTTAGGTAATATCCCAGTGACGCTGCGTCGAAGACTGAGGGATCGACGTTTCGACCATCATATCGTGGTCTTCTTCAGGGCTGTAGCGCTGGAGCAAGTTTCGATAGTATTTTTAAGATAGACCCTTATCCCAGTTGCAAACGCCTACTCGGCTGCAACACACACTTTTATCCCGAGTACAGAGTAAATTCCCGCCTCTCCAGGGGTACTGGAGAGGGGAAAGTTAAAAAAAAACATTGTCGCTGGCCACACGTTGAGAGCGAAGTAATGTTTGGCAGCGCCCACATAACTCAACGGTTGTCCTTGGACTTGACCAAGGGGTCCGTGGACGATCTAGGACCAACCGCCCCCGACCTGCCAGCCACCAGTCTCTCTTCGCTGCTTGTGCCCTTAGTATTACTCGCGCAACTTTTCTTGAACGATGACCTTGATCCCCCTCCCTTGTGCAATAAACAGTTGAAGGCAAAAGCTCGCAGCGGGCACTGATGACAACCTTCCAAGCATTAAAACTTCGTTGGCGCGAAACAGAAGCTAGTCAAAGCCAGCTGCTTTCATAGTGCAGAACTCCTGTTCTGATTTAGTGTCAATATCGAACGAAATGGCTGAGTCAAGTCCAGTTCCGTCCAAAAACTCCCGAAAAAGTTAAGCACAAGATGCAGTTTTGACTTTCATTTCACAGACGTTGGCATTACTTAAAATACTCTAGTGGCCGACTTTGTAACTAATACCCCCACTCCACCCGAAATCGCCAATCCATCGTTCAAGAAAAGTTGCCCGAGTAATATCCGCCTCGCAGTCACCGTCCGAGTACTAGCACAGTAAGGGCAAGTAATATTGCGAGGGTGTATAACAAATATACTAGTGACCGACTGCACGAAAATGCTGCTGAAACAAATTACATTAAATTCATTTTCCAAAAGTAGCGCGCAAACTGTTCAAGGACGAAAAATAAAATTTTCTCCCATAACACCGCAATAAATGAAATACATTAACAAACAGTCCTCATACTTCAATAATATACTATGGTAGTTTTACAGTACAATAATTGTTAACATGGCAAGAATATCAAACTAGTGATGCAACAGAATGACGCAGTTGTTCCCGCACCAAGTTATTTTCCTTGTCTTTTCAATTTGTGTTAGCTTTTTGCTTTTGCTCCGCCTTCTTCTCAGCTTCATTCTATTGGCGTCTAAATTACTTTTTTTACATTTTCTCAATTTTTCTGTTTCTAAGCAAAACAATTGACTTTAAGAATATTATAGAAGAATAAAACTTTATTCTTATGCTACTTTTCATTGAAAAATTTGGAACCGTTTTCGCGTAAATGTCGTTTGAGAATGTCCATGCGCCTAGTTTTGAGCTCTTTTCACACAAAACGTTTTCATTTTCAGGGAATATCATAGGAAATTACTTGAACTTGTACTAAAAGATACGATAATGTACAGAAAACGTTCATGGTGTAAATATTAATATGACAAATATTTCAAATAAATTCTTTTCGTGTAATAACCATACCTCCCAGTGGGATCAGAGGTACGATGTTTTGAAATATTACGTTTATCTTGGTCAGAGGAATTATATATATATATATATATATATATATATATATATATATATATATATATATATCACTGCGTCAAAACGTGATGCGTGAAGCTGCACCTCAAGCACCAACGCTAGACACCAACGCCATTATGAACTTTACTAAACTCTCGTGTACGTAATAAGATATGTATTTTCAATAATTAATTTCACTTCAATCATAAATATGGCACTGCTCTCAATTTTCTAAATTTTTTGCACAATAAACTCAACTGGAGATGGAGAGACCAACAGTACACTTCAGATAGACAATTAGAGAAACATTCTTCAGGATCTTTAGTGGATTTTCTTGTGTTAAGAAACCGAACTTAAGAGCTTTAAAACTATGTATAAGATTTTCTTCAAGGCATGGACTAGACAACTATCTAGCCTTATAGTGAGACCGAAGTTCTCTATAGAAAATATCAACAAATTCACAAAAATCTGCTAATTTAGCGTCACCGATAGTGAAAACGAAAAGATAATAAAACTTTTCTCTATAATTGCTGCCATATCAACAGATAAGATACTAAGCAATTCAAATAGTGTCATGGAAAATGTGGGTTGGACAGCCCACTCCTTCAGAATTCTTTCGAATTTTGTCTTTTGTGAAAGAATTTATTTTACCACCCTTACTATCTACCAAAATTTGTAATGCAGTTGTCTCTACAAAATGCAACACAATTTTTGGGTTAATATTTGGTTTAGTGAACGCTGATATAAGCGGGATATTGGTACTGATGTTTCATTCTGTACAGAATCTATTGTCTATTTCTTTAGTTATTATTTCTTCATTTTCGTCAAAATGCTGCAACATTACCGGGAGCCCATTCACAGCTTTGTGGTCAATCCGCTATTCAAACTGTTCTTTAAAAATTGGTTCATTTTGGATCCCGACTATGTCTTCTTGGGATATTGGAACAAACAGAAAAACAAGGACTTTCCTGATAAATCGGGATGCATGGCAACAATACGTGTACAACGTTCTTGTTCTATTCAATGAAATTAAAGGCAATTTTTTTCATTTATTACACGTAATACGTAATAAGCATAAATCCCAGAAAATTCGCCGAATAATTAGTATTAAAAATATTCCTGTCTTTAACATTGCATATCTTTTGAAGAAACATGAAACTTGGCTAAAAACATTACATTGTTTCTAAATGCATAATTTCTATCTCTTAGCGCTTCCATTTCTACACACATTACGTCTAAAATCAAACATTTGGACTATTTTGGCACATTTGTTGCAATTTATTGTAATTGTATTGTTCTGGAGTTTATTAACCTCTCTCATTCATTAGTCTTGAAGAATAAGTACTGAACAATCCGTAACAACATACTTGAGTTTTCTATTTTGCATAGTAAAACATTTGTATATTTTGTATAGTGCATACAAATGTTTTACTTTTCTGTTGTGACTTTTCTACAATTGTTCCTTTTGTGCAACAGAATTGCAAGAGTTTAGCTTGTTGTAAAATTATTTTCTAATGTCGAAATTATTGTTTTTGGCAAACTGTTGTTAACTACTTTATATATTTTGGCCTATCAGTCCTGATAAAAAACTATCTCTCTCTTACACCAATTGTTTCACGCATATATTACAGTCCTAAAAATAACGATTTTCCATTGAGTAAATGACCAATCTCGACATTTATGTAGAATTTTCCTGCGTGGTGCAGTGGAAGTTCGTTTCAATGAAACTAAAATCTCTGATGACAGCTGACAGCCAACATTTTGGCGTTTGACCTCGTGGAATATCATATTCGTGGAAATGGCAATCATTTTGAAATCGTATTTCTCGCAAATGAATTTCTTTGTTCCCTCATGATTGATTAGAATTACTGTCCGCGGCATTGAAACGTGGCGTCCAGTTCCCAAGCTTGTATATCTCGTTGGTCACGTAATTCCATTAACGTATTCAGGATGTGGAAGGAGATTTGCAGCCTAGAACCCAGAGCCGGAAAGGTAACTGGCTGATTGATACGCCACACGGATCGTTCGCAGAAGTCTGCTCCTTGGTGTAATAATGACGCTTCTATAAAAATTCTGAGACTTAGCAAATGTTCACAATAATAATAAAATAAAATGTTCACAATAAAATTTAAATAACATTTAAAATATTATAATTAGTGGAATAATACACATAACACTGAGAAAGCAGAGATAAAATAACTAAATAATGAAATAAGTGACAAGAAACTATACAGAATAAATATTAAATATGCAAATTCCGAAGAATATTGAAAATGATGTTAGGTATAAAATGTGGGCCGTTTTTCATTATTTGGGAAACCGTCCTTAGAGCAATGCAGGATAAAATAACTTGTAGATCGCATTTTGGGGGAGAGGCAGTGAGTACACAAGTGCTGTTATGATTACAAGAAGAGACACGAGAGAATGAGGTTTTGTTGTTCTGATAGCTAGAGTTTAAACGAGAATGAGTGCTGGTGAACACAGTTTGTAATTGAAGTCGTAGACTTACTCAGAGTTGTGCAAATGACCTTGGCTGTCCGGGTGAGGCCGCATCGTAGGATGTGGTGCGACAGACTGCTTGGCAGAGCAGCCCTGATCAAAGACCACGAAAAGATGGTCGGAACCATAGCCTTCGAAGCGGGGTCACCCGGACAGCCAAGATCATTTTCACGGTTTGAAATTGTTCAGCGGAGAGAGTTAGAATTTGGGAATTGACAGAATTCTTCACCGTTTACATATTGATGGAACAATGATTGTGAGAGGATATCTTTCGAGCCACAAACATTAATCGATCCAGTCCAGCATCGATAAAAAAAATGAATTGGAATCGTTCCATATTTGTTGCGTTTTTTATGTTATCAGAATGATTTTGAGAATATATTTAGTTTAAGTAATTTTATTAATATAATGCAGGGTAACTAAATATTGTACATACATGAGTTGCAGGGTGGCAGGATGCATGAAGGAGATTTTAAACTAATGTAAATAATTGGTTATAATTGAGAGCTAGAAACTTCGCAACCGATTGTGTGGTATACTATTCTAGCTAAACATATGCAAAATAGCTATTTTCGTTTGCTAGAAAATTTGCAACATTCGAAATTTGCTAAATACTGACATCAACTACAAAGCATGTCTTGGAGCAGAATTTCGCTCTGATACAATACCCTCCCCGCTCCTAATGAATAATTCGCACAGAAATTCTTATATTTATAATCTTATGAAACACTTCATTACAAATTTACTTTAAATTGTATGACGTTAGTGAGTTTTTCATTCATGTTCATTCTCTTGACTTTCAAACTGGCTTAAACAAATCCATCCAGCAATTACCTATATTCAATACCTGCACTTTACCACATTTATAGTAATAATAATTATAATAATAATAATAATATCAATAATAATAATTTAGCATTTAACAATTGTTTACTTCATTTATACCAGATTTTTTCATTTATTTATTTACCGAATAAGACCCCACTTCCCGGCGTCGATTCCACGCTGCGCCTCTGATATGTGACTGTGTGCGCAGGCGCTCCGACATCTACAGCAACGAGCGGCGCTTGCCCGACCCCGCCACGGCCACCGAGTACTTCGCCTACATGCTGCACGCCGTGCGCGAGCTGCGCACCCTTCAGGACACCCTGCGCCACATCATCGCGTACGTGCCCTCCGCCAGGCCCCCCACACATCCCACACACACGACACTCCCCCACACACACACGACTCTCCCACACACACACAAAAACACACACTCACGACTCCTCCCACACACACACTCACACGCCACCTCCCACACACACACTCACACGACACCTCCCACACACACAC